GTGATGGGTATTAAAGAGGGCACATTCTGCATGGAGCACTGGGTGTTATGCACAAACAATGAATCATGGAACGCTATGTCATAAACTAATGATGTAATGTATGGTGATTAACATAACAATAAAAAAATAAAAATTAACTGCTTATTTATATCTTATTATCTCACTAGATGGTGGCTTCCTGGAAGGTAGAAACAATTCCAAAGTATCAACTTAATGAGCAAGCCCTAAATGTTGTTTCATTAATAAAATGAAAGAGTTGGCCAACAGGCAACATAAAAAGATGCCCAATATCATTAATCATTAGGGAAATGCAAATCAAATATGCAATGAGATATCACTTCACACCTGTCAGAATGGCTAAAATTAAAAAAACAAACAAACCAAGAAATAACAAGTGTTGATGAGAATATGTAGAAAAAGGAATCCTTGTGGACTGTTGGTGGGAATGCAAACTGGCATAGCCACTATGGGTGAACAGTATGGAGGTTTCACAGAAAAGCAAAAATAGAATGAGCATATTATCCTGTAATTCCACTACTGGATATCTACCCAAAGAAAATGAAAATGTTAATTTGAAAAGATATATGTACCTTTATGCTTACTGTAGCATTATTTACAAGAAAGAACTAAGATAGAGAAGCAACCCAAGTGTCCATCATCCATAAATAGATGGATAAGGAAAATGTGGTGTGTATGTATATGTATATGTACATGTATATGTGTATATATATTTATATACACACAAACATTAATATATATACACACACACAATATACACAAATGATGGAATATTACTCAGCCATTAAAAAAGAATGAGATCTTGCCATTTGCAACACCATGGATGGACTTATAATACTAAGGCTATAATACTAAGTGAAATAAGTCAGACAAAGAAAGACGAATACTATATGATTTCACTTGTATGTGGAATTTAAGAAACAAATGAATAAACAAAGAAAAAAGAGGCAAATAAAAAACTAACTCTTACATACAAAGAACAAATTGGTGGTTGCCAGAGGGGAGGTGGGTGGGGGGTTAGGTGAAACACATGAAGGGGATTAGGAGTGCACTTATCTTGATGAGCACTGAGTGATGTACAGAACTGGTTGTTTTATTGTACACCTGAAAGTAAAATAACACTGTATGCTAATTATACTTGAATAAAAAAATAAAATGAAGAGAGTAGTGAACAACCTGAAACAATAAATTTACACGAAGTAGACTGAGAAATAAATATCTGTCTCCATATATGACTAAAGGTCATGATGTTCTTTCCTAAAAGACTGTTTCGTGACCAAGTTTCTGTGTTTAATGAAACCAGTAAAATTTGTGTCACGTAGTTTTAATTGTCAGATTTTCATTACTAAGGCTTTTTCTTTCAATAAACCATTAACTTTCTGCTGGAGGCAGAGAAAAAAATGGGGAATAATTGTTCAATATGTGGATTACTATTATAATTCAGATATACAAAAATTTCTCTTTTAAAGGGACAACCAAGTATGTATTTGGAGTATGATCTGTGCATGATTTGAAGACGATGAATCAAGTGATAAAAGATTAAATGAACTCCTTTAAAATCTATGCAAAGTTCAAAATGATTGCTATGTAAAAATCCATGAAAATGAAATTTAGTGCCTTTGTGGAAAATATGTATCATTTCTAGATAAACGCAAATAAGTAGGTCTTTAATATAATTTATTGGCTTTTACTCTCCCCAGGGCCTAAATTATACCTTTGTAATAATACAAGTAGTCTTAACTCATTTAATTCACTGAGAACAAAATAATATAATCATTATAGATGGTTCGGTGATTTATTACAAACCATGATATTAGGTCAATTATTTTATATTCTCATGCACAATACTCCAGAGAAAAATGAGCTAAACTCTCTTTTCACAATAGTTTCTTGTGAGCTTTAAAGAGACATTTTCTTACACTCATATTAAATAGACTTAAAGTTAAAAAATGAAAACACAATAGAATGAAATGCTGTTTACAAAGAATTATTTTAAAATGTTATACAACTATACTAGAGATAGCTTTACTTTCCCTCAATCCAGAGGAAGAAATGTTTTCCCAAGGAAGAAATTTTTGATTAATTTCCTCAAAATGCTAGTATTTCAGTCTTTTCATGATTATACTAACCACTTAGACAAACAAGGTGGGCCCCCCCATAAAAAAAAGTCTCAAAGGAAATTAGAAAATAGTTTGAACTGAATTATAATAAAAATACAATATAATGTCATAGGATGTAGCTAATGCAGTAACTAAAGGGAAGTTTATAACATTAAATACTTAGATGAGAAAAAAGATTTCCAATCATTAAGTTTCTAAGTTTCCCATTAATAAGTTGCTAAGTATTTTTTTCTAAGAGGAAAGAAAAAGAAAGAAAGAAAATATTAAAGGTAAGAGCAGAAATTAAGAATTTAAAAGTAGCAAACAATAGAAAATATAATTGAAATCCAAGGCTGGTTCTTTGAAAAGATCAATAAAATCTTCTAGCAAAACTAAAAAAAAAAAAAAAAAGAAAAAGAAGAAAGACAGCAAGAGAGAAGATACAAACCACCATTAATTATAAGGATTTTAAAGGGAATATCATTACCGACTCAAGAGATATTAAAAGGATTATAAAGAAATATTATAAACAATACTAACACACAATTCCAACAACTTAGATAATTCACTGAAAACAACAAACTACCAAAACTTACCCAAAATGAAAGAGTTACATAAATTGTTCTATAAGTACTAAAAAATTGAATTCACAGTTAAAAACCTTCCAAAAAAGAAATCTTCAGGCCCAGAAAGTTTCATTACCAAGTATTTAAGAAAAAATAACATCAATTCTTCAAAATATTTTCCAGAAAACTGAAGAGGAAAGATTACTTCCTAACTCATTTTACGCGACCAGTACTATCCTGATATCAAAACCACACAAAAACAGCACAAAAATACAGAAAACCTTAGGCCAATATTCCTCATGTACAGAGGTTAGAAAAACACCTCTCAATAATTATTGCAAATAATATCCAGCAATATATAGGAAGAAAAGCACAACATAATAAAAGTCGTGTTTACTGTGGAACTGAAAGACTGACTCAGTTTAATAATCAGTATTAATATTGAAAACACATAATCATATCATGAGGAGAAAAAGCATTTGACAAAATTCAACACCCATTCATAATAAAACTTTCAGCAAACTAGGAATATAAGGAAACTTCCTCAACCTGATAAAGGGCATCTACAAAACACCTAAAACTAACATCATACTTAATGGTGAGAGACTGAATGCTTTCTTCCTAGTATCAAGAAAAAGACAAGGATGTCTGTTCTCCTCATCTCTGCTCAATACTGAACTGGATGTTCTAGCTATTTCAGCAACAAAAAACAAAAAACAAAAACAAAAACAAAAAAAAAGAAGAAAGGAAAAAGAATCTGGATTGGAAAGGAAGAAGTAATGCTGTATTTACTTGCAGACACCATGATGATCTAGTAGAAAATACAATGGAATCTACAAAACAATTACTATTCCTACTAGGTAAGATTAGAAAGCTTGTAAGATAAAAGATCAACATACTAACTCAATTTTATTTCTACATATTATCAATGAACGACTGGAAATTCAAACTTAAGAAAATAGTACCATTTTACAACAGTATAAAATATGAATACTTAGGGATAAATCTGACAAGATGTCAAAGATCTGTACTTTCAAATAACAAGATACAAAGTCAAAACAAAAATCAGTTGTGTTTCTGTACATTAGCAATATACAATTTTAAACAATTTTTAAAAAATTAACAACATCAAAAAGTAAATAGGCATAAACTAACAAAACATGCACAGGTTCTGAATGCTAAAAAGTGCAAAAATATGGATGAAAGAAATCAAAGACCTAAAGGAAAGAGACGTACCATGTTCGAGGATTAGGAAAATCAACATAGTAATGATTTGTTTTCCCCAAGTTGATCTATAGATTTCATATAATTCCAATCAAAATCCCAACAGGATTTTTTTGGTAAATAAGCAGGCAGATTCTAAATTTTTTATGAAAAGGCAAAGGAACTACAATAAATAAAAGAAGTTTGAAAAAGAACAATTAAGTTAGGAGAATCACAGAATCCTACTTTATGACTTATTAAAGCTACAATAACTAAGAAAAAGGACTCCTGGCAATTAGACACACAAAAATGAACTGAAGAGAATAGACAGTCCAGAAATAGACCCCCACACATATAGCCAATTGGTCTTCAACAAAGCTGCAAAAGCACTTCAATGGACAAAGGTCAGTGTTTTCAACAAATGGTGCTGGAACAATCAAGCACTCTATGTAAAACAATGAACCTCAGCCTCAACCTCACACTTTATTAAAAGAAATAAACTCAAAATGAATCATAATTCTTTATGTGAAACTTAAAATTATAAAACTTTTAGATGAAGCCACAGGAAAAAATCTTTATAACCTAGAATTAGGCAAAAGAGGTTTTAGGTATGACACCAATGGCATAATCTGTTAAAAAAAAAAAAGGGAAATTAGACCATCAAAATTAAATATGTTTGCTATTCAGGGAAAAAAAATTAAGAGACTAAAAGGACAAACTACAGACTCAGAGAAAGTCACATATGCGATGAAAAACTCATAACCAAAATATATAAAGAACTCTTACAACTCAACACAAAGAACACAACTCAATTAAGAATGACCAAAATACTTAAACAGACACTTCCCTAAACAATATATACAAAAGGAAAAATAAGCACATGAAAAATGTTCAACATTATTAGGAAAATGCCATCAGGAAAATGCAAACTAAAACTACAATATGATATGACTACATACCTACTTACAACAATTTAAAAAATATTGAGAATACCAGGTGTGACTCATAGCAAAGGAAATTCTCATATATCATGTCTTGAAATACAAAATGGTATAACCATTTTCCAAACTGGAAGACAATTTGACAGTTTCTTATAAAGTTACATATAACTTACCATAAAATCCAGTATTCTCACTCCTGAGTATTTACCCTAGAGAAATGAAAACTTAGGTTCACACGATAACCTGTACAAGAATGTTTTTAACAGCTCTATTCATAATTGCCCAAACTTGGAACAACTCACCTGTCCTGAACAGGTCAATGAACAAACTGTGGTTTGTTAATATAATAGAATATTACTGAGCAACAAAACAAACAAACAACAGATATATTCAACAACTTGGATGGATCTCATAGGCAACTGTACTGAATAAAAGAAGCCAGTCTCTAGAGGTTATATATTATAAGATTATAATTTTATAGCATTGTGTTATTATTTTACAACATCATCAAAAAGACAAGCTAAAGTAAGAGAGAACAGATCAATGGTTTCCAGAGATTAGAGATAGGACAGGGTATGATTATTAAGATATAATCAAAGCACAATTATAAAGGCACAAGGTAGATTTTGGGGTTGATGGAACTGCTCTGTATCCCCACTGTGGTGGTTGTTATATGAATCTGTGTGTTGAGATAATAGAGTTATATGCCAAGAATAAATCTATTTTATCACATAATAATTACAAGAACTAAAACAGAAACCCAACAAGGCTATGGTGAATAAAAAAAGAGGTTTGCTCAGCACTGTCTTTCTCCAAAGTAGAAGTTTAATTAACATCTGTTGAATAAAACACTGAAAATTGGTTGTAGTTTCTATTTCAATATTAATCTCACTTATACCCTTAAGCTTCAAAAATTTAAATAACTTTTTGTAGTGTCATTAACATTTTCTATCATGGTATCTGCCACATAAAAATGTCTAGTTTGTGAAAAAAAATCACTAAAAATATCAAATGAAAGTCAGAAATCTAGATTTCCCAACCAATTATTTTAAACTTAAAAAAAATTATCATTAAGAATAGGTAACCTTTCCTTTATATCTTGTATGCTTATCTTCCTTATTTAAAAAAGGGCAGGAGGTACCTGGGTGGCTCAGTCGGGTAGGTGCTGGACTCTTGTTTCAGCTCAGATCTCTCTCTCTCCCTCTGCCCCTCCCCCGACTTCTGTGAGCGCTCTCTCTCTAAAATAAAGAAGTCTTTAAAAAAATAAAAAAGACCAGGATCTGCACTGAAGTCATTACTCAAAGGCATGGTATATGAAACACATATTTCATAAATGTTTACAGAATTAACTACTCTTTACTAAACATGGAATGAGCTGAAGAGCTAAGCCATTAATTTAGCTCAGATATGAAATCTTTCCAAGACTTATCTTTTTGCTTGAATTAGCAAAACTGTTAAAAATTCTTCTTCTTTTGGGCTGTAAGCGGGGTGTGCACTCACATCACTAACTCATGTCATTTTCATGCTGCTACAGACTTTTAAATTTTCTTTGCTAAGGAGGCATTCGGCATTTGTTTGTCAGGAGCTCCTGTGCAACCGAACCTCCTAGGACCCTGCCCTATTACTCCCTATACTGACCTGCCAGGTCTGACTAGAACTCATTCATTCTGATCAATTAGCCAAGCAGTTTGGCTAAATCACATGTATGTGAATGAATAAAAGTAGCTTTATTAAAAAACAAAACAAAACACTGATGTTGGTCTTACTTAGCTTTAAATTGTATAAAAATAGTGTTCCTATGCTGGAAAATAACCAGTAATATAGTTTAAGTTTTCAGAAGTATCCAGCTCAAGAATTAAACACATTTTTTAAATTGCAAAGATGTTATCTGCACATATTTATAGTACAGAGCAAGTATAATTTTTATACTTTTTAAATTTCTATTTGTTAGAGAATTATTTTAAGCCCTCTACATTGTTTTTAAGGTTGACTTTCTGAATATTCACTTAACATATGACCATCTCCAATTTATCTATGGGTTTAAGTCAAATTTTCAATAAAAGATATTGTATTTTATAGCTTCAATAAATTAACCATGAAGTATATTACAGCGGTGCTAAAATATATTCATTTTTCACATTCTACAATCTATGCTTTGATGTCACATTACACCATCACTTGCAAGTAAACCAAACTACAATGCTCTCGTCAGCATGCAGTCAAAAATATAATTACCTATAATTAAACTATCTAACCAAACAATGAAAAATAATGAACCTGATTGAAGCACTTGATGCAGTAATTTTATTCTATTCAGTCTGACTAGGATCATAAGCAATGAGTTTGCTTAATTGTTTAAAAAAATGAACTATTATGCAAAGTTGCAGCTTTCTATATTTAAGCTCTGTGGACATTGTTAATATTCAACATACTGATTAATGAGGATTGCTATTTATTATAAACAAGTAGGTACCAAAGGCAATTTGCAAATAAAAGTTTACATAGAAACATACTGGTCCTCAAACTTCCAAATTTTCATGAGCACCTCATCCATTGGCTTTAATTGGTCTCCAGAGCACCTGCAATTTATTGTTCAATACCTTCGCATAACCATTTTTGCACATATCATTATAGGTACAGGAGTTTAAACCATAGACGAGCACACACTCCTATAAAATTACAGTAAGGGTCAGTTATTATTAAGATAAACTTCACAAATTAGTAGAGTTAACCGTATCTGGATCATATGAGCAAATAATTACATAATGTTCCTTGAAAATATCCATTTAAGTTAAAAGTGATGAAAGTCAATGAATTTGTCACTAGATTGAATTAGAAAAACTTCTTTGTTTCAACCTAACCTGAAATAAAATCTTGCAAATAATCCCAACATGAATAAATTTAAAATGTATGATGATCTCGTCCCAATATCATGAGATTAATATTCATATAAAATATTAGAATTGAGGAAATCTTCACAAAAGTACATTTTCTAAACATATGTGAACACAGAGACAGGTTTATACTTGCCAATTTTAAGAGAGGTGCATGATTATTAAGTTCACCTAGACAGTAATGTCATTTCAACACTCATTAAAACCATGTTTTTATAATAAAGGTATTCAAAGTTAGCTCCTCTCTCCAAACCCCAAGATTCACAACACGGAATTTTTAGTAAACTCTTCAAAAAATTACCTGCTTCTGTAGCCATCTTTCATGCCTTCGTTGTTTCCTTCTCAGATTTTTCAACTTGCTCCTTTCTCTCTTACTGAGCCTCTGATTAATGGCCCCCAAGGAGAAACTGCCCGAGCGTAGGAAGTCCAGTGCAGAGAGGGGCTCTTCCTGGTCCGAGGTCTCCAGCATGCTCCTGCCAGCTGAGGGCAGGTCCATCAGGAAAGTCAGGTTGTTAGAACTCGCATGGTCAGAGTACACTGCAGAAGCTTCTAGACCACACTGAAATTCTCCTCCTCTTTGTGTCTGGGTCTCACGGGGAGCCACTGAAAATCTTTGCAGCAGCATATTAGGATCAAAATTGGATGAAATCTGAAAGGAACAGTTATTTTTACTAGATTCTAAAGGCAAGCCAGAAAGGTGAATAGGCTGTGTTTCATTTAGCCTGGGACAGGCAGTAGTCTTACTATGTATTTTATAAAATGTGGGTAATAAAGTCAGTTTCTCACTGATGTTCAGATCCAAACTATGTGATTTCCTATGAAAAGCTCTTGTAGTGCATCTGCCAGTCACAAGCTGAGGAACAAAAAGCTGGTATTTTGGATCTGATGCTTTGAAGAGCAGTTTTTCATTCTTCATCTGAAAATATGTTGACCGTACCTCCAGGCAGAGTGCTTCTGTTAATCTTCCAGGGCCATTATTATTTTGGGCCATATTTAAAAACCCGTGATTTCTGTTTCTGGAGGCGCCACCTGTCAGCGGAGTTTCCTTGTCACAACCTGACTGAACTCTAGGATGTGACAAGTATTTCAGCGATGGTCTCATTAGTCGGCCTGCCCGTGTTGGCTGATAATCGGTCCAGCTCTTAGAGAGATGTACAGCTGCAAGCTGGCCACAGGAACATTTTGGAGTGCTGACAAAATTAAAGCCCCCTAAACGGGCCCCACAGAAAGGGCAATTCAGTTTTCCAACTGTCCACTGGGCCTACAGGTAATAAAGGAAAGTAAGACAATGCTTTCATTGTAAAGTAATCAAAGAGAATGTGAGTCGTATTTTTTTTTTTTTAAAGCCAATCACATGAAAGTTTTCTATGCCACAGAAAAGGCTAGCTTTCTGTTTTCTGATTGGTAGACAGAACAGTAAAGGGAAAAAAGCCTTCTAATAAATAGAGATAAGCAATTCCAAAGTTCTAGAATGATAACATACTGCACATCACGCCCATCTCAACAATACTCCTAAGCATTCTGAAAGAGTCTCTTAAACAATAGGTTGAATATGGATATAGTGTGAACTAATGAAAAGAGAAATACACTATGGAACCAGGAAGCAAATCAGTCTACAGAGCTTAATTTGCAAGTAAAATCTCACAGAAAAGTGTCTGTTTTGATACCCTTCTTGCATACCAAACACTGTGGGAGGGAACTTTACCCAACCAACAGAATAAAGCTCTTCCTGCCTTTTTACATAAAACCAAAAGATATTGGTTGTATACGTAAGAGTGCATTTTCTATATTCAAGTGTAAAATTAATAATGAACTGGCTTAAAATTATTTTTTTCAGGAGAGATAGTGGAATATCTGCAGCACCCTCATACATGTTGTAAAGTTCAGGACAGTTAAAACCAGCGCACTGGCATGTTCCCAGGAAATCATTACAATGCGAAAATGAATGCAGAGGATATCTATCAAATGTTATTTTTTAACAACAACAAAGTCAGTGGAGAATGGCAACTACATTTTTTTAAAAAAATCACATTACTTATACTTTTCTAATACTTGCTTCAAAATGTGAGAAATAATACCATACTGTTTACAAGGTGAGTTCCTGCTCTTATAATATTTCATTAAGGAGCCCTAAAAATGTGGTAATTTGATTTTGATTGTACCACTGAGAATCATTAATTATCCAGTTTATTTTATATATGTATGCATACACGAATAATATAGGATATTTCATTTACTCGGGAGGCATTGTTCTAGGTGCTGGAGGTACAGTAATAAACAGAAGAGAAAAACTTCTGACTTTATGGAGTTTTTATTCGAGTAGGGGAGCTAGGCAATTAACAAGAGCAGTAAGCAATACATGTAGCGGGTAAGTGTGTGCGTGTGTGTGTATGTATGCGTATAGTTATGTCTATATTTATATAGGTCATATATTCTCATGCATATTTACAAGTACTATATATTGCATATTGTATGTGTATGTAAAATATAAATAGCTATATAAGTCAGAGAAGGGAGAAAGGAAGTGTGAAGAGCGATAATAGTGGAGTAGGGCAACAGAGAGTTTGCACAGGCAATGCCTCACTGTGAATAAAGATATATGGAAATAAGGGAATCAGTAAATAACTGTGGGAAGAGCAATCAAGGAAGGGGGAAATAGCATGTTCTGAAGTCTGAGACCTAAAAGTACCTGCAACACTCCAGGAATAATGAAGAAGCCAGTAGGTGTAATCAAGAGTTACAGACCCTTTCTTATCTCTTGAAACAATTCATTCAAGAAAAATTGCTCTAGAATGAGGATAAAAAATCCTGAAAGTAGTAAATTCCTAATTTACTACTATTCCTAAGTACTCAAAAATTAAGGAACTTACTTTTTGTATTAGGGAGTTTATCCATTCTGGAAGAGCTTCTATATCCATGTGCCACACACTACAAATACTTTGATCATCAGCAGAATCATGTCTATCCTGTTGTATCAAAATGCATGATATTAGTCATTACCAGTTCCAGATTTATGTAACAAATTTCACATTTGAGTAAAACATAAAAATATAAATTCGGTTTTAGATAGGAAGAAAATATACACTGCTCTCCTCTTCTCATACCCATCCCTAAAACAAACTCACAAAGCCAAAAACAAATTTTCAGGGAATAACCACTTGTGAATTAAAAAAAAAAAAAAGCCTCCATTTCATTGATTTCATCAAATTAAATTTAAAATTTTGCAAAAAGTCACTCAATAGACAAATCTGGCACCCTATTCTTTTTCCTGTGTGTGAGGAAAAAATAATGCCATTCATGACAACTTTCCCAGGTCTTTAATCCCTGATTCCATCTGGACTCTACTAATGATAAAATAAAGAAGTTGCTATATAATCTATTGAGATACTCAAAGTACAACAGGATGGGGGAGAAGAATAATTGCATAGGCAAGTAGAAAAGCCTCAACTAAATTTCAGCTGCATTAGAACAAAATAATTTTAGAGAGAGATAACTTTGGCTTTCTGAAACAGATGTGTAGAAATAAATGTGATATACAGGTGAAACTATATACATATCAGAAAAATGCAGGGCAGGCCAGCATGGAGATATAGGACTCTTTATTACCTTAGCAAACCTTAGGCCAATTTGCCTTTACCTCTCTGGGTCTCAGTTTCTTCCCCTGTAAAAAAACTCTAGATAATTGCTAAGCTCCCTTCTGGGTATACAAAATTTCATTTTATGATGGCAGAATAGAGTTTCTTGAGAAGAACAGGGAAAAATAAGGCTTCTGTCCACATACCCATTCCCAGGATCAGATTTTACATAGAAGTAGCTTTTCCAAGTTGCCAAAGCACAATGCTTTTTAGATTTCACCAGCAGTGGCATTATTAGATACTATAATTAGATTAACAAAATAAGTAAGGAAATTGCTAAACATACTTGCTAAGTCTGTATTCACAGTGACAAGAATGAAACAAGACAGAATCTCTTTAAGAACCTTTGCTGAATAATCTACATTAGATTGTGACTTGGAACCAAGATCACCCAGAATTTCTAGGTTTAATTTCCCAAGTTGGTTCCTTTGGGACCTATATCACTTTTCTCTTCCATGAATACATCTTAAGATACTAAATGGTGGCTCAGTATACAAGAAAAGTTTCAGTATGATTTATTTACATATCAGAAAGATCTATAAAGAAACCATCTTTATCTGATTTCTGTCAGGCTCCCAAAAAACCACAAATTAATTAAAATGGGAAAGGGACATGAGCTATTGTTCTCTGTTAGACCACATTTCATTATTTCATATACTGTACACAACTGTATTTTATATACTATAAACAACAGGGCTAAGCCAAATTCAAGATTGTAACAGGGAAAAAATACTTTTGTTAAAAGGTCTGAACATTTTCCATTTGTCATGTTTCAAAAATCAACAACACAGGTTGAAAATATTTCAAAGGCAAATATAAAGTCTGCTGAGAAGGGTTTATAGTGGGCCAAAGAGAAACTTTATAATTTTATTAATGATGCCTGAACTCTAAATCTGGCTAACAGAATGCAACTTACCACGTGAATAGTAAGAATATATAAGGGCAAGGCAAGTCCGTGTCAAAATAAAGAAGGTATTATTGAACAGAAGCAAAGTTAGGAAGAGAGGAGGAGATACTAGGAACAGTCTCTAGCTCCATCATCTTAGTGCTCCCTAATACCTGTGTCCTCACAAGAGCGTCGGGCAGGCATACAAAGCTTTATTTTATTCTAGATTCTCATAAAATGAAAGAAGGAAAAATTCAGGCAGAGGGAAGTAACTACTGGTTTCGAGATAGTAAAGTGAGTACATACTCTAGTCTATCCTCCCTCTCAAAACAAAGAACCTATCAAAGACAGTTACAGAAAGTAACCAAGAGCTGAACTAGAAAATATAGATGGGGAGATTTCAGTGAACCAGAAATTATGAGGAGCCTCTGAAAAATCGAGAAAACAGCAGCACAATGTATCCAAATTCCAAGTACAGAATAGATGAGAACAACACAAAGAACGGTCCATATCAAAGTGGTGAAAACCAGAAACAGAAAAAGGCCCTGGGGTATTTTTATCAGGGGTGGAATGGATGTTTGTCTGTCTCCAGGCAAAAGGTATACGTGAGGAAGAGAGAAATAGGGCAACATCCCAGGAGGGCTGGAAATGCCTAGAAAAAATGGAAAGAATTTGCAGCAAGTCCAGAAGATGAGCTACTGAGGATCAATCTCTATTCTTGCTGAAAATAGTACCATGACATGTAAAGAATGTGAGCTAGATTTGTTTGTACTAATAAGATTACATACTGTTTGTTATTTTTAAAAAGTCAAGTGAAAGAGAAATAACCGCACTCTGAGCTATACTATTAAAAGCATATACAGCCTAAAAATAAGCAGTATTACAACTTTTCTAGGGAAACAAACATAAATAGAAAAAGTGCCTAAGAGGCCATGTACCAAGTTGACAACATTGGTTAGATGTGAAGGAAGAAAGACCAAGATTAGAAGTTACTAAAAGGAAACTTTAACTTTCTCATTATTGCTTTAATGGGAGAATATATTAAATTAGATAATTAAAATTTTACTTGAAAATTGATTCAAGTAAAAATAAAATAAACTACTTCTGATTCTGGCAAGGCAGAAGTAAGTGGTATTGGACATGCTCTCAGCATTATAATAGATAACACTAGGTAAAATATATTAAAAAATTGTTTTAAGATGTTGGGCAAAAGAACTGCAGGACTGTGATCCCTGAGAGAAGAAACATAAATGAGGTGAGCCTTAAAAATCACCCTTGATTTCTGCCCTAGGGAACTTTCAGAATCTTGATGGAGGGAGGAGGACCCAAGATCATAGCACCCTTGTTAATAAAATGAAGACTGGATTGAAGTATATAGAGGCTAAATAGCTAGAGTTTATAGGACACTGTATTGACAAGGAGAACCCTACAAACAGAAAAAGTTCCAGATAATTGCATAAAGATTCCTCTGAATCTTTGAATACCAGTAGGAACACATGTTGCGTGAGATACGAGAGAACCAGATAAAGAAAATTTACCAAGGAAAAGACATCTACTAGTCTTACATCTACAGTAAACTTTATTGACACAGGGCTCACAGCAAGTAGGGAAGATGTTCATGTTCCAATTAGCTAGAGTAGAAAGATCTCACTGAACATCTCAGGTATTTAGGGGATTCCAGAAGAGTCTTGCCTTAAAGAGGAGAGCTAAATTAGCCCTAGAGTAAAGGCTACTAAAAAAAATCCTATAAAAACTTAAAAATAAGCCTGCAAAAGATGAAATTCAATCACTAGTAACTTATATGCCTGCTAAAACACTCTTTAAAGCAAGACAATAATATTCACTCAGTAGTATTAAATCTAACTGTCTAACCTACCAAAAAAAGAAAATATGTGCAAAGCAAAAATGACCCATAACCAAGAAAAAAAAAACTGATCAATGGAAATATACCCAGAAAAAGGTGAAAATGACTGAATAAGCAGATAAAGACATTAAATCAGCTATTATAAATATATTCAAGTACTAAAAGTAAAACACAAGTAAAACAAAAAAGTCTTAAACACCAAACAAATGGTATATCTAAAGATAAAAACTCTATCTGAAATGAAAAATGGACTATTGTGTCAACTACACTCAGATAAAAAATAAGATGTAAATTAAAAAAAGTTTCCTTTTCCATTTTCTGAGCTTTTATCATGAATGGGTATTGAGTTTTATTAAATAATTTTTCCACATGTATCAAAATGTTCATTTTTTTCCTTCTGTATTCTACTAGTATATTGAATTATATTACTGTTTTTTTAATGCTAAACCAATTTTTATTCCTGAGATATACACCGCTATTTCTTCCCTAGTTCTTTTAAAGGTATTTTGTAGTTTTCAATAGACAGGTCTTATACATAATGTGTACATTTATTCCTAAGTTGTTCATGTTTTTTGATGCAGCTATGACTGGTATTTTACAAGTTGCCTATTGCAGTCTTCCGTGGCCAGTTTAAATAGAGTTAAATTAGCATACTGACCTTATAGTCTTTAGCTTGTAGGGTTTGTTTCTATGAAATAGTTTTTATTTCACCTTCATTTACAACATTTTATGTACAGTAAAATTACCCTGTAGTATACAGTCCCCTGGGTTTTGAGAAATGCATAGGGTTGACTATACATAATTACAAGCAAGATATGAAACAGTTCCATTATCTTCCTCAAATTCTTGCATGCTGGCCCTTCATAGTCATATCTTCCTCCCCATTTCCCGGTCTGTCCTCCATCCCCATAGTTTTATTATGCTGGCTCACCTTGTTCAAGTGGGACAGTCAGTTCAACAAGGCTGTAACTTCAACTCCCCCTGAATCCCAGTTCAGCTTCTCCACCTCGGGGCCAGAGGGATGCATATCTAACTCTATGATGAAGGGGTCTAGTTTCTCTGACACATATTTACAATATCAAGATCAGAGACAATGAAAGTGGCTTAGGTTTCAATTCATCCTCTTGGTTGCCAGCTTTTCCTTGCTCTTCCCTACTTTACATTTATCTTCCTGTCTGTCAGCACACACTGTGTTCCTGGGTCTTAGGGGTTTAGCCATCTCCATGCTCCTGCTCTTTCTGGTTATAATTCTGGGTCTAGAATTTTTTTCACGTTTTTATTTGATTATAGTTGACACTATAGTTATATTTGATTATAGTTGATTATTTGATTGTGTATCAAAAATATTTTATTAGTTTCAGGTGTATGACACAGTGATTTGACAAGTTTATATGTTATGGTATGCTCACCGTAAGTGTAGCTATTATCTGTCACCATATAACATAGTCCCTATGTTGTATCTTTTATCCCCATGACTTATTCATTCCAGAGTTGTAAGTCTCTATCTTCCACTCCCCTTCATTTTGCCCATCCTCTCAACCCCTTCCCTCTGGCAAACATCAGTTTGTTCTCTGTATTTAT